ATTTAAATTATCCAAAGATAAATATTTTAACCTACAAAAGAACAAATATGTAATAAGATGCTATATTTCTCATTTATTTACTTGATAATTCTATATACCTGTTTTTAAAATATTTTAAAATGAGTTTTAATAAAAATCAGTAAATTCTTTAATTTTTTATGAAATTTTTAGAGTGACAATGCTTCTTTATTAGTTTAAATAGTTTATATGTATATGTTTAAAAACATATTATGTATGCAACTATAAATTATATATTCATAAAATAAAATATATAAATTAAATATAAACTATAAAATACTTTATAGATTTCTCTCTCTCTCTCTCTTAATGAGAGAGTTTAATGTCTAAACCAATAAACTTTCAGCTCTGCTTTTTCTGCGAAATTGAAATCAGAATAGAGACATTTATGTGAATACTTCACTTTATATTCGCAATCACGCTCCATCGTTTAATCCAAGTCATAGAGTCTTAAGCAATAGCGCACAATGTGCGTAATCGATAAAAGCGGTAATAGAATTGAGATTATATTCGAAGCAGTAATTCCGAAATTAAATCAGCGTAATTCTAATCACGTTAATCCGAATTGTTACAATGCGCGATTTCCTTCTATTATCTACAAATTTTGAAGTAAAGAAAGAATATCTTCGCGTACTGCAATTTGTATTTACCAATGAAATTGTTACGATTTCTCATCTTTATATGATTCAACTAAACGCAAAATAGTTTCTATCATGCTATACGTCGAAATAATAGATGCTAGACTATTAGTAAATATATATAAATAGATATAAATGTGATCGATATTTGCAGAGGTTTTCACCGCAGTTATCTGTATTACATATACACATGCACATATATAATAATAATATATAGAATTATTGAATTAACTAATTTACTGTTACAATAATAAAAGAATTTAGATATAATATTGTTTGACGTACCGAGAAATATAACGTTCGTTCGTGGCGATCGTGTTTATAAAATGGAAAAAAAAATTTTTCTATCATTTTACCATATTTCTCAGTGCTCAAGCAATACCACGCAAGACAAAGAAATTTCTTTCAGCATAACGCCAAATCGCATAAAATCAAATTGAGGAAACAGAGTTTTTCCCTGGATCAAGATTTTATTAGGTACAGCTGCTTTTATGTTGTTGCAAAATTTGATTTTTACATCAGTACGCGTGAAATGATTGCTTCTTCGATCAATCTGTGGGATTGATGGAACACTTGACAAAGTAAACGATTTTACGTTCGCAATATTTGCAATGTTCGCAGTATTTTTCATAGTTCACAATTCTGTGTCGCGAGTTCGTGCTTCGGGTACATTGTATATATTTCAAATTTTACAAACTAGTCACAAGGCTCGTACAATATACAGTTACATGTACAGCTCTTTAAATAGATACCCTTTTTCGCGTACCCACTTGTATAAAGAATGTTTGCCATCTTTAATTGCTTATATCGCATTATATAGATAACGAATCTTCTACGATTGTTGTAATTATACGGCAATTATAGGACAATATGCTATATATAGTCGCATGACATACAATGTTCTCTCTCTTCTGGAGGATTATATTGCGCTTGCAGTACGCAAGTGTTACATATAAAGTCGCTGCAAAGTCGACGATATAATCGATAAGAAAAATCATTATCAAAATATATGAATTTTAAATTGTACAAGTGGCACATCAACATAGCTGTGTGCTTGATTTAATTGTTATTAGAATGATGTATTTTTGTTTATTTTTAGCTGTGATAAATTTCGTTGATTGTATCGTCAATCTTGTAGCGTTGCATATTATGTCCCGTACATAATAGATGGTCCTTGCACTGATCTGTGTTGTGTTCAAAGTTCACATTAATTTCACAGATATTAATTCTGTAATAAGATAAAGCATAACTGATGATTTGCTCTGATAATATTAACATAAGAAGACGATGCTCGTTTAGCCAAGATTAGCCGGATTATCATTGCAAATGTGAGAGCTGTTATAATTGAATGTGATATCTTCGGTTAATGTGAATTTTGCGAATAACAGGCCAGTGTGATGGAAGCTCTAATTAAACAAACGGGACGATGCTGTTAGAAAATAATGTATGATATACACATTAGAGAATATATATTAAAAAGTATACACATATATATTATATAATCTGTATTTCTATAAGACAAGGTCGATACGAGCGGTGTAACAAAACGCTTTGGTCGGCGCTTTCGAGTCCACGGCGCGTGCATGTTTCTTTTTCGCCCTTTCTCTTTCCAATTTATCTCTTTCTCTTTTTCAATCTTTCTCCCGTTCTGTTCTTCTCTCATTCTCTCGTAATTTTGTTCCATTCACTCTTTCTCCCAGTTTTTCTTTATCTCTTTCTATCTTTTTCTCCTTCCTTCTCTGATTTTTTTTCTTACGACGTTGGATTAGACAACACTTCGTTACTGATAGTACAATAGTTCACTTTGCGGGGGAAAGAAGTATATAAGGAATGCACACTTTCGTTTCCACATGTGTTGGAATGTTATTTGTGTTTCTGTCATAAGGAAGCTTTTGTTACACCCCTCATTATACCCTCACCTGCATGAAGGACATCTTTGCGAATTGACGCTTTTCTTTTTGGCCAATGTAGCCTTTTGCATCATAAGTGCATACACGTAAAGCTATATAAGTCAATCGATGGGTTTTAGTCGAGACTGCAAAACTCTCTGGGCAGTTCGTTAATCATCATGTCTTGCACGGACTCACTCGCGACTGTGTAGATATCGCGCAAGCCTGGTAGCAGTGTAATTTAATCTTTTTTCCTTTTTTTTAGTTTATTTTATTGGCGATTCGTATTGTTGTCTCATAATTGTTGAATTATCTAGAAAAAACGAGAGAAATCTATTTCTATTTAAAATCTTATAAATAAAAATTTAAAGAATACATAAAAACTTGTTATACTATTTAAATAACGGAAATTTAATAATATTTAGATTCTATCGTGTGATGAAAAAATAATAGCACGTTATCTTTCTGGATAATTCAATGTAAACTAACTCTATTCTGAAGAAAGGATGCATAACACACACCTTCTTAAAATCTCTTGTAACATTTATTATCGACGAATGTCTGAACGTGCAAAAATATCCGTACATGCAGTTGAGGGTAAATCGCAAATAACGTCATCTATTCCGGCACGGATAAAATCTGAATCGTTGTTTAATATAAGTCTCGCGATTTTGATTTTAATTCGTATGATTAAACTGACGGGCGCAGTTACTGATAAATCTTCGGATATTTCTCTAAGTATACTAGTAAAACATGCACTAACGGCTTCAAAGTAATAAGGCACTTCCCTCTTTCTTCGTACCTGAATAAATATATTTATTTTCCATATATTCTGTACCTGATGAAAAATTGCGAATCCATTTTAGAAATCTTGCGATTTGTCGAACAATAATGATAATCGTTAGTAGCTTCTATAGAAATTGTGTATACATAATTCACAGTTCTGAGAAAGAATAAAATAGAGTTACAGCCGATTGTTTAAACATATCGCGTGCGGTTCAGTTTGAATTATAATTTCGATATCTTGGTGTGACGTAGCATTCATTTGTAAATATTCTGTATTTGTATATCTGCTTATGTTCATACATGTGTTTAACGTAGCGCCCGGCCTCTCGTTCTTCTCGTTATGCATCTCGTAGAAATGCAAAAGGAAGTGGAGATATGTTAAGAACGTGATATATTACCTACTTCCTTTCACACTCTATACTACACATATATACGTGTGTGCAGACGGCTTGGTTGGATTTAGATTTTGTAAAGCGTTGCAAAATGTGTTGGGAGTCTATGGATGTTTCAAGACATACGCAGATCTTATCAATGTAAACTTCAAATTGTTGGTGTGACAAATATCTGTATATGAGATTGCATAGTATAGATCATATTTTCCGAAATATACAATTTCATTAAACTTTCGGAAGTGCAAGATAGAAGGACACGGGACAGATGAACCGTTAACTGTCACCTACATTAGAAAGATATTACGAGCTCGAGGAAACGATGATATAGCGAGAACGACTCGTATACAACAGATTATGCAGTAAAATTTTGCCTGCGGAGAAAAGTCGCTATTTTTGATAAGTCTGTAAATATTCAATAAATCCTAATGTCTATCGACAACTGTTTCGCTTTCTACAAAAAAATGAGCTTACCAAGAGTTAATTGTTCTCTGTCTCGTGCGTCTGTGCTATATCTGTCACGTTAAAAGGGAGCATTTACGGCTAATAATCACTGCGCAAACACATCGTGCTGTCGGAATGTGCGGCAACCCGTTTACGTGGTATGATACGAATAAGACAATGTAACCCAAGGCGTTTCGCGACGACAAGCGACAGGGTATCTCGTGCGTTACACGGGAAGCGAGACACCCTCGATAAGCACACCCTCTCCCCCCCCCCGCTCCGATCACGTTGCATTTCCAAAGCCATCACTCCCGGATCCCCGTCCTTCAATTGCACCTTTAGGCGAGAGCAGCAACAGCATCAGCGAGCGCAACGGCAGCGGCGTTGTTACCCTCCACAGAGCATTGTACGAAGATATAATAAAGCATGAACCGCTGGAACACGCCACGAGTCGTCGCACGTCACCTGTAACGGATCTTTTGTCCGTGTCCGCCGTAGAAATAGAATCGACGAACGTTACATACAAGAACTCTCTGTCTCTTCGATGTACACACATACCTACATATGCACACCGACGTGCTTGACATGACCCTCTTCCTGTATTGTCACTCTCCTTACATGCCATTTTGTCGCTCTTGCACTCTGCAACGATTGCGCCTGGCACTTTATTGCCCTGCATGAAGGCATCTTGAGCGATGCCATCGAGAAAGTTCTCATTAAACGTCTCGAGAAAATTAGCTCAATCCTTTTCATCGGAATTCAGTAGCGCGTAAAAAGTCAGCTGTTGAAATATCTTAGAAAAAGAGAATTTCAACCAATTGTTACTAACGATCTTGTGTATTAGATAAATAGATTCGATTAGATCACGGTCGATATGCAAATATTTTTTAATAATACCAGGAAAGTATCTTATTGTTTTTTTCTAATTATTTATTACTAGAAATTTAAAAACATATATAGATTAAATATATTATAATTATATTTTTCGATACTTTTTTAATGAAATATTGATATTTTTCAATATATTTTCCTTTTTTTTATCATACATTTTATCATACAAAATGCGAATTAAACACAGATGCACCGAAATCCTATTTCGAAATTGATCCTTCGATCTCGCGACATTCTCGGATTTCATTCTCAGCACGCGCGTATCTTCTGCCTGCCGACGGTTTGTACTTTCGATTTATGACGTCCCTTCATGAAAGATATCATGGGAAACGAATATATGACTCGATGTACGTTTCTACGATCGCGTGCGAGAGAGGCGTCTATAAGAATTTCTTGTCGTCAGGCGACGCTCCGAATAAACCTGAAGCGAAGCTGGTTTCTCGGGTAAATCCGCGAAAACGATAGAAAAATCTTCGGTAACTGTAATCATATTTCACCCCTACATCACAGCGTTGCTCTTCATGTTCCCTACCCTCACTCACATTGTACCACGTCACATACATGTTAATTGCAGTATGCGTGGATGAAATAGGTAATCTTTATATGTCCTATGTTCTTCGTCCTGACAAATCCAATTAACATTATCTATGTCATGATCATAATTCATATGTGTAGAATTTTGGTCCTTACAGTAACGAGTGAAAAATCATTCCACAAAAGCACAATCAATTCTTTAAGAGATGTATCGCGGTGCAGTGCTAAATTATATTGATTCAACTTAGAAAACATTTAACGCGTATAAGCTTAGAGTATGAATTATCTGTCATGTGTTAATTAACTTATTGATTAATTAATTTATCATTGATTTTATTATTGTACAACAAGATTTTTCAAAATTACGTTAAAATTTAAGAACAATCATATCATATTATCGCGAGATATTGATAATAGTTCAAAAGGTTTGATTTTTTTTCTATCGCGTTGTAAATCGTTAGTAACAATAGAAAGCACCGGCGGTAGTACGCTCGTTGGAAATTGAATCGGGTAATCTACCGCAATAGACCATTGCAAAATTTTCAGTCGAATTTATTCTGCACTGCGATCCAGCTCTTTGTTTCCCCCTTCCGAGAGCAAGCCTGATTCTTCTGGTTTGGCGCTCGGAAGCAGATAGTTCAGCCTCGATGGAAATCGACAAGAGGATTCAGCAGCATCAGCAGCAGTCAGTCCACCAGACGAGTTGTCGATAGCGCAGTACCTGCTATATCACTGAGTAGAATTGTCTTTCCCAGTGTCACCTGAAAATCCCATCAGCGGCATACCATCGTCAAATCTTCCCCATCGTTCGCCCGTTCATTTCTTCTTTGAAGTAGAGCGCAGCTTCCAATGCACGTCGGAAATCCACATACCGTACCACTATGTCCATGCACTGTCCTTTACGTTACTATAGAAACGGGATGGGCACAATCGCGCGGTGACTTTATTCGAACAGCACGGCCTGAAGTTTGGAGAGACGCGTCTGCCGAGCTCTGCGAAATCGGTTTTCATAAAAGGGACTCGCGTCATTATTCCTCTCGTCCGAATCGAAGCGAGATAGGAATTTGTAATCAGATAGGATAGAAATTTCTGTGTTGCAGCATATGGAGTCGAAGGAAATGGAGTACAATATCGATTTGTCAAAAATTTATGTTTGGCTCATGACGCAGTAAATTCTAATTTGTTGAGTTAATTAACTTCATCGTTCAATTTGTCCCTGCATTATTTTATGATATCGTATGTAATTTGCTGACGAAAGACATCGCTATATTTAACTAACATTGTTTACCAAATAGTTAAAATCATTAGTCGACAAACTATCTCCGGACATTCCAGTGTAATTTGAATCTACGAAATGAAGACAAGGTTGAAATATTGATCAGTCAGCAGTATATTATCCAGCCAATTTGCAAAATTTTTTTATTATATTTATGTGTTACATTACTGTTGCTTTTTTTATATGGTTTTATTTTTTTGTTCGTTCTAGAATGACATTATCCCTTATTTCACATTCAATATTATAAATCATTCGATATTATAAATCATTATCTCATTATTCATTTGATACAGAAGTGACTCTATATATATATATACACACACACACACACACACACACACACACACACACACACACACACACACACACATATTAACGAAATCGCAGCGTAACTATTTAATCATTGCGAACACAATGAACACTTGAGATTCTGAAAGCTTGTCTTTGATATAAATCGTACAAATCATTTGATACGAAATTTAAAAAGCTCAGAACCACAGCTTATCGCATAAACGCATATTTTTGGTTAACTGGAACGATAATCTAATCGCAGATTTTATACTCGGAGATGAACCACAAGAACTTCTACCGGCTTGCTCCCGCTTGAAAGTGTTCTATTTCCAACGAAACGTGCGAGGAAACTTATCTATCACGTAAAACGCGAGGCGTACCACTCAGCATTAGAATGTTGCTAATTGTACCAGTCCGCTTTGATTCCTCCCAACTCCCGACGGGAAGCGTCGAGAGTTCTCGCTCGAAACTTGCATTTCCGCGCCACGCTCATCACACGTGCCGCAGAACTGCGAGCTCGAAATTACTTCGTACATTCGACTCGCAGCAGGTGTTGGGCACACACTGTTAAATTACGATAATCTATGCGTGTAATATTACTTTGTATAAAATTTAAATAAGTGATCAATAATTAATGTATTGTTTGCTTAATCAGATATGTTGCGTATCAATAGCGGTATTCTCTATACTTTATCAGCAATACTTGCATAGTGCAAAACACAATGAAATGTATAATGTATAAATAAAATATAACAATCAATATTCTAAACACTTCTCTATACTTCAGTGAAACAACAAAACTTTTCTACTGCCAGTTAATACATTGTATTCTTTAAGAATTAAAAGTCTCGAGTTATTTAATTATATCGCTGATTCAGTACAGAATACTGTTACAGGTGGTACTTTGATTAAAAGTAGATATATTTCCGGCAAGCCGATGCTGCAGACACACGAAAATGCCATTTCCATGTTTATTACGAAAATAAAAATGATTCGTGAAAGATTTTTCTTCTGTATCCGGGGAATTGAGATTTTTTCGAAACTACAGTGGTTTCACACCATCAATTTGGATATTGTACGCGTAGATTGCGCGTGGAAGCCCAACGCTCGTAGATGTCGAGAGTACGAAAGACATCTGTTGAATAATACGAGAAGATTTAGTAAAGCCTGCATGTGCCACACAGCAATGCGCACCGTGCATCTCGGAAGCGTTGACGCGTGCGACTCAACCGTAGGTGCTGTTTATCATTGATTATGTCATTCTTATTCACTTTTCTTCTCCCCTCATGCGACGTACGCGTGGGGGAGGGTCTCGATTAATCCGTATTACGCTTTGGTGCGACTTTGAAATGATTAATTAATTGATCTTCCTTTTTTTCTGTTTCCTCAACACTCTAGTTGTTCAGGATTAAGCCTCTGCCAGTGTTAGTAAGTACCGCCACTTGATCTGGTGTGATTGGACTGCTGTAGTTAGAAGGCTATGCGTACATATACTTATATATTATATTCATACTTACACATACATTATATATACATGTCTCGTACTGTCTCTGTTCCTATATTATCTATACACGCCATCGCTGAAAAGTAGGATCTTTACTCGGATTTTCCTATTTATCAATTTTTCCTTTTTAATCCCGCGTGTTTTTCCCTTTTTTTTTCGCAATGCTTCTATTTCATGACAGGAGTTCTCAAGTGCGAGTATCGATATGTTCGCTTATACATCCATATAAAAAAAATTCCTATTCGCATGGACGCTCAGAAGAATGCTTTAGAAGTAAAAAAAAAGCCTGTAAAAAACGCATACGGTCATTGTACTATATATAAAAATTATCATTGTATCTTTCGACTATATATATTAAAAGCGAAGCTGAAAAATATTTTAATTTTATTCAAGCCATTTTTATTTTGAATTATTAATGGTCTACGAGAAATTGTAATATAAAATAAAGTTTGTTGAATTAAACTTTGCGAATGCAAATAATTGTGATAGCTATTTTTACCCAAGGGATTATTTTGTATCGACAGCAGATAAATTCAATAGTATCTTTCCTTTCGTCCGAGCACTCATGTATTTCTTACTAAAAGAAGTTCTTTCGCTTTTCAAAGCACTTGACGTAATTCATGGAAACGTCCTATTTGAAAACGTGTGGCTCTTTTTCGTATTCGAACAAGTTTCGATATTTTCAAAGGGAACATTTGCTGACATGATGCCAATAGAGACATACTACTATCGGAAACGTATAGATGAAAATGTATTCACAGTTAAATGGGCTACACGTTGGCAGAACAATGCTACGATTAATCGCCAGTCTCGTGAAAAAAAAAAAAAATTTCTATACATTCTATTATATCCGAAGTTTCTAAAATTGCTAAAATCTTGCAATCGCCATACGAGATTTAGGAATAAACGTAAGTTAATGTTGATTTATTTTGTATTATAATTTTATTAACTTCCAAAACATTTAATTATTATCAATACGCATGAAACTCTTAATTCTTTTCATATATAACATATCATCATATTTATTTTTTACAATTATAATAGAATACTAATGACGTATATACTTGTCGAAATCCATCGTATCAGAAGTGACCCTAAATAACTGTACAATTTCATCGATATGCAAAAAATTATCAGACATTAAACCTGTACGAATATTAAATCGATCCTATTAGTAAATTATAAGTGAAGACACGCCATATGCGTTAACTGTCAAGCTATTGAACGCAAAGGAATGATAATAAAATGATATTATAAATTTGCTGCTAAATAAAGTCATAGACTATATTTAATCAGTACTCCGTAGTCGCAAATTTTCATTCATGTAACGGATTCTAATTAGTACGCACCATTAATTAGTTCAGAATTGTCGATATTCATGACTTTGATATATCCAGAAAATTCCTTTAATTTGTAATTAAAATCGATACAATTACGAATACACCACCAGGCATGTAATATTCGTACAGAATCAAAATGGCAAATCATTCTTCACTCTTCCTCCTCGTTTTCATCCTCTACGTCCTCTCTTCACACATTATTAAAAATCACAGCTCTGTTTTGCGAATGACATGTGCGTTAACCGGAAGTCACTTTTGTCATTGTCTACAACCATATCGTTCATATATTTATTGTACATTATACCTTCTCTCATCGCGTCGTTCTTTACTCACACATTCATGTAGTGGCCGCGCGCATATCTGCATCGTGCATATCTTCGGTATGCGTGCGTGCGTGCGTATACGTGTGCGTCTGTCCTTGCGCGATGTGCAGCAACTAGTGCTTGAGCTTCTTGTGAAACGGAATCACTCATACGTTATACATCTATGTATGCCTTTACACGTACTACGTATTGCGCATCGCTAAATGACCGAATCGTGTCGCTGGTGGCATTACGACAAAAAGCTCGCACAACAATTCCCGTATCCCTCCAGTTGACGAATTCCCGCCCCCAATGCCGATGAGTGTATCGAGATGACTGTAAAAACTGTGCAGGTTCCTAAACTAAAGTCGATGACCTAATTGCGTACCGACTGTAAAACGTCATACAGCGACGTTCAGAGACCGGGCGAGTTTTATATTTCGTCTGGAAATTCGTATTTACGTGTCCTCTCCTTTTTAATTTTTAAGCGATGTGGCGAAATCGAGCTACGAGTCGATCGCTGGTTATCTTGAGACAATGTATACATTTGTACTTTACTGGATCTATTATGCGCCATGTAACGTACTGCAAATCAATACTACAAATTCGGACGAACTTGCGAGCGCTCCATTTGCCATTGATACTTTGTACATTCTCCATATTGTACTGTCACTCTTTGCAAGAGCTATTGCCAGTGCTTACTACGTCGCATCTTTCGCTTTCCTCGCAACATTTCATTAGATTCGTTCGCTATGTCTAGCGCAGCGCTGTGTAGGTCCATCAGCGATCGATATAGCCGTAGAACGATATCTTAGTCACGTCTCATGGTCGAGGACCTATTGTTGTTAATTAAAGTTTTCCTTACTAAACCAATAGATGTTAATGATTTCACATGTAAAATGCACATTATTTTTTTAATTATCTTACATATATTTTTCCACTCTGTAGTAATTTCTAATGTATAATTACATATATAATTTCTCTCGTTATTAAATATATCGACGCAAAGTGAAATCCTTGACGTCGAATTTATCAGTGATTAATAAAATTAACGATATTTAATCATCTCTAAGAAATGTTAACGTGATCTTTGGTGCACCAACAGATTTTCGTTCGAGCGCAATTCGACTACGATCCACTAGAAGATGAATTGATACCCTGCGCACAGGCTGGAATCGCTTTTAGAACCGGTGACATTCTGCAGATCATCAGCAAGGATGATCATCATTGGTGGCAAGCGAGAAAGGATAACGCGGCTGGTTCCGCGGGTCTTATCCCATCGCCCGAACTTCAGGAATGGCGCATTGCTTGCATGTCTATGGAGAAGAACAAGCAAGAACAAGGTAACATAACTTTGCTATCCATATTGGTCGTTTTTGTGTAAAATCGCTCGTCTGTAGAACACGAGTATTGTTCTCGATATCTGATATGTAAAATCGATGTACAGTTCAAAGTTCTTTTTCTTCGTTTTAAGGGGATTGATCATTTTTCATCACGTTTTATCTTAGATTGTTATCTCGTAAAATAGATGAAGTTCTTTAAAAAGAAAAGGAAAATATATTCGATATAGCAATTACGAAAAATATTGTTTTATAATGTAATCCTCTTCATTTCATCGAACATTTGAGGATACAATTTCTTGATGATTTTGATGAATAAAATATTTTCAATGCTGATCCTCTATTTAAGTGTTCTTTGAAAGAATAATTTTCTTTCTCTGGCGTTAAATATAACATTAAACTTTTAGGATAAGGATAATTTTAGTTAAAAGTTCGAGTAAAATGAATACGATAATCATTGGTTCCAGCAGATCGCAGAATCTTTGAGTACAGAACGGAGAGAGTCAGAATTTCGCCGATTGAAAAAAATCGTTATTACGTGACATTCTTTCACTACCGCTCAATCGATCCATTATCATCCAATCACATTTGATGATTCCACTCTGAATTCCCATTGATTTTCACCAAATCATTGCTGAAATACGAATGTGCTGATGAAACACGATGTCGTTCTGTGTGTTGTTCGATGTGTACAGGTTTTCGATGTGGAGCATGTGATATCGTTGTTATCAGTCAATTATACTGTACGATAAGATGCATATTAATAGTGTACTATTTTTCAGGATAAATTAATTAGGTAATTATCGACGATGTTGATTTATAAAATATTTCGAACAGAAACAAAATAGTGTTTGATATTTATGATATTACTTCATACATAATATATTTATTTATTTTTGATGTAAGAAATATTTTAAAGAAATTTAGAATAACTCCTTAGATTTGAAAAAAATATAAAAATCACGCACATTAATTATATTCTTTAAACTGTAATAAATCTTTCAAAGTGTAACAATATCTATATGTAAACAAAATTAATAATTAATAGTACGTATCAATTAGTAACAATTAATAGTGCATACAATTAATAATAAATAATAAATGTTTAATTATGATATTAATGTATTTTGTGTGAATATTAACATTTCTATAATATTATACAGAATCTATATCAGATCATCCGTATCATCTCTTTTTATTGGAAATGAATAGTAACCGTAAATCGAAAAAAAAATTGTTACTACTAAAAATATTCATTGTTTCTTATTAGTTTATCATTTCTAAACTAATCTAAGCATTTCAGTTTTTTTCTCGAAAAAGAATAAACTTGAGTCAAGTCTGAAATTTTTAATATAAAAACATAAGTTGAAATAGTTGAATGTATCTTTTAAAAATAAACAACTTTTGCTTAAACTTTTTTTATATTACCTATGATTTATGAGAGAGATAAGAACACATTACAGATTATGAGTCACTTATTTATCCAGACATCAAAAGTGTTATCAGAGATTTAAATTAAAATTTATCTTATACTCTACATGACCTATCTCCCTATTTAATATTTTAGACTTGACTCAGGTTTACCCTACTTCCGGTAGTTTCCGGAAAATTGAAATCTACATTGTTAAATAATTTAGATAAGCTTTAGAAATGAACATTTTTTTCTTAACTACTATGCTACTACTATTTCCAAGGAAAAGTGTAATATGAATGATCTAATACATTCTGCATGTCTACAGTATATGATAATAGAAATAGACTAACGAATTTAAAATATATAAATTTTGTAATCCACATCTCACGTATTTAATATTGAATGCGATTATAGTTAATCGAATACAGTTTTTATGTTTAAATTTTAATTAAATAAATATATTTAGATATTTAGATTGGGGGGAGGAGAGGATGTTTATATATCTTATTAAATATAAATTAATTCTTAAAGATTTTTTTATATCTTATTAAATTGTATAATTAATTACTCTGAGAGAGGCTGAGTTTTTAAACGTTATATAATTCGAAGAGATTTTATAATTCAAATCCCGCATGAGGCTGTATTGATTCGAATCTCGAAGCTGGATATGAACGTTCCTGAGCCATTCTGTTTGGCTAAAAGCATCTATCATCTGCAGACGTTAGAAATAAAGCACAAACGTAATCGTTACTTTGGATAGTTATCGATCCATGAAATTTTAAAATATCATTGCCTTTGTGTTAACCATAAATCTTTTACTTTTGAAGAAAAGATGCTGTTATAATATTACAATATAAGTTATAGTATTATAAGTTGGTAAAAGCAACCAAATGTTAGAAAAAGCATATCGAATTATACGCAAGATAGTTTATCACTTACATAAGAATTGTTTACTCCATATTTTCATAATACATTATATTTAGCCAGATCACTTAATTTAAAAAACACAGATCACGATGAAGCAGCAAATGAGATACAATAGAAGGAATAATTATACGATTTTAAGATGTAACATTTTTTAAGATGTAACGTTAAAAGCTAGAAATTTAAAATTTAATTATAAATTGCAACTATATGAAGTCTACTATATGAAGTGAACTATATGCAAATCAAGATTTAAATGCTTTAGAACATGTAGTAAGAAAGTTTCGGTCGCCGTATATTTCTATGCGCCTGCTGGCGTAAATGGATGGCATGACGGACAGATTAGGAATAGGCAAATGGAGAGCTAGCGCATACAAGAATAATTAGTTGCAGTGATATATCTATTGTTTATATGTGTTATGCGGGGCTAGATGCTGAAGGAGAAGGTGGATGTTCTTCTCACACCGAAGGCTGCGACGGTTCGACAGGTACGTCTCTGCCTTCAGGTAGACACGTGTAGAGTCACATAGGACGTACTTTTAGACGCATGAAGTACAGACTGGATCCATGCTTCTAACACACGCATCAGTACAGAGAGAGAAGATAAAAAACGGAATAATCGTATTTCAGCGATTTATGGAAACGGACACACGAAGCTTTTACTTTTAAGTTCATTTTATAGATGAAATTTATTATTCTCGTAATTTTATAATATAAATGTACGGACGATACTTGTTAGTATCTTCATATTTAAAATACTTGCATTAATATTTACGAAGTATTTACGAAGAATTGTGTAATACATTTAAGTTTTTAACTTGCAATTAGCAAATGACTTGGTACCATTAACAAAATTATCTGAACAAGAAGTTCCGAGAGCTATGTTATTGCTGGTATATGTAATAAATGTATTACGCTTATTAGATATTGAATAAATATTCATATAATACATATACTAGGCAAAAAAAGTACATCTATAACAATTTTATTATAAAATAAACTTTGCGTATTTGATTTAAAAGATATTGATTTTGATACAGGTCTTCATAAAACTGTATTATTAAATTACACAATTGTAAAAATATCTCACACAATGCATAAAAATGAATGCTATTATATCAATTCTTCATAGTTGATATAAACAATATGGAATTAAGCATCAATAACAAAAAAACTTTAAAAGTTTTCAATTTCCAAATTTGATAAGATAAAAAATGTAACGTTGCGAAATATTTCGAGAGAGCATCATACTGATTATAATTTATTAATATGGGTACTGTGGTATATTCTGCATTATAAATTAATAAATGCTTTTACACATGCGTGCTTTAATGCATGCGTTCGCTGCAAAACATTCAACGCACACTTATGCTTATTTCGCACGATTTCACTTGCAAGCGTACGCGACAGCACGATTACAATCGGGGCTTATAATAGATAATTAATTAATTGTTCTAAATGTTATATAGCGAATAATGATACTTTTGAGAATATCTTGCCAAAAATCTCAGAAACGATATTTTTCATCCTCATTCTTGATTCTGAAATATAAATCTTTTCTTTTCATATACGTATTTTTATTCATCTTCAATTGTCTAGATATTTTGGCAAGATATCATGGTTTGCACAATCACGCGAGCAATCATCTGCAGCTTCGATATATTGTAGTCCCACGAATCTCCCTAGTATACATATTCTAGTATACAGTAGTTCTGTGATCGCGAAAATAATATTCACGAAGCAATTCACCATGGTTTCCCTATTATGTCACTTATTTAACAACTTACGCATCAATTAATCATCGACTTTACGTTATCATCTTGTGACCTGCTGGAACACCCTTTTCAATAGGACTTCCCCAAATGCGTTTGGACATGGCTTCCTTCAAACTGGCTGATTGAATGAAATTCTTTTTATAATCAATAGATAAGATTTTGCTTGATCCAGGAACCAATATTCGCAGAGTAGTTTATCACTTCGTGTTAGCATTAATTTTCAAGATGCTCCGGAGGGTTGCTAATATTAAGTGCACACGTCGATGCGTACTATGTTTCCAATAGGTTAACACACTATGTTGGGTGATACATGTTTAGGAGAAGTAATACCAGGAAATATTTTAGCGACATGAACGACCCTCTTTGCGTAATTATGGAAAATATCTGTCGTGCCTCATTATATTTTGACGATATAAACCAGAGAACTTCATTAATAGAAAATTATAACTTGCATCGTAAAGAGTTTAACCATCATTGGCTGGCATAATTTCTGCTACACTTACACATTCGTATACACATTTGAATTTTGCGAGCCAATTTCGTTGCGACGGTTACGTCATTGTAATCGTACTTTAAGATCAATTTAGCGGTCGTTCATCGACACTATAAAGGCACGTAACTTGTTAGTTAGCACGGATAATGGATTCCGTAACATGACACTTGCACAGTAATTTGCAAGTTTACATCGGGTTTTCGAAAAGAAATAGTTTCATCTTCGGTTTCGCGGCATTTATATATATTAACAATCTTTTCTGCTTGCAGTAAATTGCTCAATATTCGGCCGGAAAAAGAAGCAATACAAGGATAAATATCTTGCAAAGCACAACGCTGTTTTCGACCAGCTGGACCTGGTGACCTACGAAGAGGTCGTGAAGCTTCCTTGTGAGTTTTAGTTGCAGTTCTAAAAAAAATAAACATAAAAATAATTCGTAATAAATGTAATTCTTATTTTTCTATACATTACACAATTTAATACCAAATTCTTTTCGAAATGCCATAGTACATATCCCAAAGATTTTTTGCGCTCAACACGATGCTTTTGACAAAATTTGTGTGACATGTCAGGATTTTGAATAAATCGGGATAAAAATGCCCATTTTCCCCTCAATTTATTCAAAATCCTGACATGTCATGCAAATTCTGTCAATGGCACCATGTTCAGCACAAGAAAAATCTTCGAAATATTATTTTCCCGTTAGATGGCATTAAAAAAACGCCACGAACTTTTTCCTACACCTAATATGTATTATGGCACTTCGGCGAAAAAGTGATTTTTAATCGAACTGTGTTATCAGTGATAATTCTATTATTAAAATGTCTCAAAATTTATAAATATAATTATTTAAATATAATTAGAGCTATAATTTAATGTGTTTTATAACATTTATTGTATATAGGAAATAAATAATTATTGATTTTGAATATTATATATTACTTTTCTTTGCATATAGATCCTGCCTTCCAACGGAAAACTTTAGTATTATTGGGAGCACATGGTGTCGGTCGACGACACATAAAAAATACGATTATTTCCAAGCATCCTGATAAATACGCCTATCCTATTCCGCGTAAGTATTTCAAATTTTTTAATATAATTCTGAAATAATTAAATTTTATTTTGAAAAATGTGTAAAATTAAAAATGATATATTTATTGGAAGACTTATTAAATATGTTGTTTTTATAGATACAACGAGGCCTCCACGAAGTGATGAAGAAAATGGTCGTAATTACTATTTCGTATCGCATGATGAAATGATGGCAGATATAGCTGCTAATGAATACCTCGAATACGGTAAATTATGCCTAAATAAATTTAATAAAGTAAATTTTTAT